TGAGGAAGTGGGCCAGTTCATAAAAGAGATGCTCAGTGTGAAACCTGGCTGATGGCAGCCTCCCTCTCTGCCTCTTTGGCACATGAGTGAAGACCTCAGCATCTGTGTATCAGGACAAAACACAGTGCAAGAATTGTGCTTGGGGTGAAGAATTAAGTTCTCTTTGCTAAGCATTTGTCGTGCCTTTTTTTTTTTTTTATAAAAATTGCTTTTCAGAAAATTAGACTGAACTGGAAACTAACATGATGGAAACCTCCACTTCCCCTTCTCCCTGAAACCAGACAAATATTTATAATCAAGCGGGACAAATAGATTTTGAGGAGAGGCATTGTGTTTGAAGAGAGGAAGAAATGAGATGTCTTTAATTTTTTTTGGTTAAAAGGATTTGATTATTTTGCTTCCCCTTTCAGTTAATTGCACTTAGTTGTTGTTTTTTTTAAACTTTGTTCCCTAAACAAGATCAGTGCTTAGAAAAGATTCTGGATGCGCTGTTCTAACCAGAGGGAGGGAAGAGTGATGCTGCTCTCAAATCCAGCTGTCCCTATCACAGACACTGACGCTTTTGTTGGTTTGTTGGTTGGGGGGTGGGAGGGAATGTTGCATGTGCGGTACACTCCAGTAATGCTTGTGTCACACGTTTGATCTTTGCCAAGGCTTGCTAGGCAGCCACCAGTTATGTAACTCTGATGTCCTCTACAGCACAGAAGGAGCAGTGGAGGCCTTCCTGAAGAAACTGAAGAGCACCTTTCTTACAGCTGTTCAAAATTTTTGCTTTGGAGACAAAGGGATTTAAAGAGACACAAATGCCAAACAAATTCAATAAAGGCATTGTATCATATGGGAAATAGAGCTTATGAAAAGAAATGGAGAAGCATATCAGAATGATTTTATTGCTTTTTTGATTTCATGTTTGGTTAATTTGCTTGGGCTTTTTTTACTCTCAGGATCTCTTCTGTGCTAAGTAGTTCCTAAAAGATAAGGACAGATTCTGTGTCTTTGGGGAGTTATGCCCTAGTTATTTGTATTTCTCTTAACTAAGATGAAGATGGACAATTGTTCCAGCTTGGAAAGCTGCTTTTGTTTTGATAAATTCACACAGCAGCACAAAATGTTTCTCAGCAGTTCTACTGTTCTCTCAGGGATAGCATTTGCTTGTAACCTTGACCACACACTTACACATGTTAGGAGTATAGTTTTACTTCTCCCCCTCCTTCCCTTGAATGCTTCCTCTCCTGGGCTGTACAGGAAGTAACTATGGTCAGAAGACTAGGCCTCGTTCTGTAATAGAATGTTCCTGTGGAGGAGAGTTGGCCAGTTTCTGTGCCTTTCAGGACCACTCAGTTCTCCATCCATAGGAGTGCACCATGGAAGGGGCCATGCTGATAGTCACAATGCTTCCAATTCGGATAGCTGTGTTAAGTTTGCTTGATGCTTTCACTGTATCAATCTAAGGGCTGTTCTAAGACATGCAAAGCTGATTCATTTGCAAGTATATGGTACATCAGGACCCTGAAAAAGCCCGCCCAATAAATTTGTATTCATTGCTAGCCTAAAACAGGCAGCTGGGGTGGTGTGGAGCACTTGTATCACCCCAGTTCTTGGGTGCCACAACCAAGAGAAAGAACCTTCCTTGATACCGCCAATCTTGGCCTGTGGTAGGACCTATAGAAGGATCTTGACCACTTGATAGAATGGAACATAGCTTTGACATTACTTTCCCCCCTTACTTATTTCATGAATCCATGAGCAAATGGTTTGCAATGCCTAGATTTAAAAAAAAGTTTGACAATTACCTGATTTTAAAAAGTATTAGCAAGAGGGCAGATAAAATTGGTTCTGAAAGGCAGGACATGTAAGTACACCAGTTCACCTCTTTCACAGAAGAAAACATTTACCTGATGAAATATTTTCCTTTGATGGTGGTCTTGAAGGTATATAGGAGTTGCTTTCCATTGATAACTCCATTATAACTGAACATGCAGTTACAACACATGGAAAACCATGGTTAGAGTGGATCTTCCTTTGTTGTGGACATCAAAACTGATAATGCCACTGCTTCCAGATGGTTTCTTTAACTCATTCCTATGAGGACAATTGTGTGTAATAAATTCATTCTATAATTCAAACCATATTCCTCTTCAAAACAGTAAAACTGGAAAGTCAGATGTTTCCTAATGAAGAGTTGCATCCTCAGACAGTATAAAATTGTATGCATACTTTGTGGATGATTGTAATCTTTGTTATAACTGCTCTGTTATTGTGTGTAATATGTTAATAGTATTAAGTAGTTCTGCATTATGCAGACTTCCTGTAAATAGCTTTACTTTATCTTAGGATGCAGATCATCCCCTGACCTTGCTGAAATGGTAACAAGCACCGGCAGTTCATTTACTTAAAACAAACCTCTGTGGCTCAAGCTATTGGGATTGCCACAAAGATGGGGCAGGTTCATTGCAGCAGCCATCAGGACTGCTGGGTTGAAGAAAAAAAGTGGGCCTCTTGGCTCAATCAAAACAAGCCATGGTAGCTTGTAGTGAGCCATAGTGTATGCATAATCGCTACCTGGCCATGGTTTATCGTGCTGCTGAAACCTAGGTGCATGGATTCTTGGAAGGTTAAATAAACCTCAGATAATTCTACAACAGCCCATAGGTTCTAGACACACTTGCCCAGGTTCAGATGCCATGACATGCTGAGGCTAGCAGTGATGATATAGAAACATAGAAACAGAGTGAGTCAGACGAGGCTTCCTGGGCCATCTAGTCTGACCCCCGGATCCAGTCGGCTCCACTCATGACATGCCTACCATGAATATGAATTGTTCCTGGCACACGCTGTGGCTTACTGCAAGCCTACCATGGCTTGTTTTGATCATGTGAGCTAGCCCACAGGCTCTCTTCAACCATACAATCCAAATTTACTTCTTGGTGGCTGCTGTAAACAAACTACCTCATCTTTGTATAACTATCTTTTATTTTCTTTCAGACAAATGGTTCTCTCTCTCTCTCTCTCTCTCTCTCTCTCTCTCTCTCTCTCTCTCTCTCGTAGGGAATCATGCGTTTATGTTTACAGAAGTGTTCAGAATGTTGTGACATCCCCAGACCAGACAGTGTTCTTTCTATTTTGGGGACTGTGAACCAATGAAAACTAACTTTAGCCACACCATATGGTACCATGCAGACTTGCTACACTGCGAATTCACAGAAAAAAATGAGAGTGTATTCTACTGGATTTTATGGAAGCTTTTAGTAGATAACTTACTGAGAGGGTGGAACATTTCTCTTCTCTTCTCTTCTGTGTGTGTGTGTGCATGCGTGCGTGCACTGTTGTATACAGCAGAGCTAGTTTTGCTAAAACCTGTATTCAAAACACACTTTAGACATGACGCATAACTGTTACCAGGAAGCAAGAAAGGCAGCTTAAAAGATCAGGTTGTTTACAAGTTGGTTTTGTGACTCTTTCGCAACAAAGTTTGCACTGGAATCTAAGGTTTAACTTTTGACTCTCTCATAGATGCAAATGGATATGCAACAGAAAATCCTGTAATGCCCAGTACCTAATTAGTTGCAGCATTAATGTCATGATCATCACTGGTAGCCTGACACTTTGCCCACCCCTCTACTTCTCTCCAATGCTGTGTTCTAAAAAGGGCACGTTAATTAAATGGGGTCATCCCCAAAGGGGGAACATTTGTGAGGTCACTGACTAGAGCATCATTTCAAGTCAATTTTTCTTCCTTGTTAATTATTTAACTGCCTTGTTCTGTAACACTTTTAAATGAGGCCCAAGCTAGGTACAATGGCTACAGCCTGCTAGTTTAAACCTGACTCTGCCTCATTTGCATATCAAATAAATAGTGGGGAAGATCTGCTTTTAAAGCAAAAGGGACCTGCAGTTGATGGGAACCTGATCCCTTCCTATTATTTATCCTTCCACTGCACCTTGCTTTTCTCATGCTGGAGCTCACACCTGCTATCAGCTCTGGCTGCTGTAAGTCATCCGAACAATACAGAAATACTTTATGCCTCCACAGTAGATATTGCAGAAGATGCACATGAAGGAAAACCTGGTGTGTGTGTGTGTGTGTTCAGTTTCAGGGCCCAACAACTAGTTTAGGAGTCACTTGATAGAGGGGATAAAACAGAGTGTGTGAGACACCACCCAAAGCGGATTGCCAGAAAGTTTGGCTGTTACAGCTCCCAATTTCATGCCAGCTTCTGAGCTGGCAACTGGAGTCCAAGGCTTCCTTGTCCTGAGTGGTCTTTTCTGTAGAAAATCTGAAGCTTCTGCATTCCTCTCCCATCCAAGCTCTCTATGGATGGTGCAGAAGGTGCATGTGAAGTGGAAGCATGGAATAACTTCTTATCAAAAACAACAAAGCGGTTGTTTGACACCAGTCAATTTCAGAGGTTCTGAAATTACATTTTGATTAACTGCAATGCAGCATTATGTCTAAAGGAGGCAACATTTAGGCAACCTTTGGTTTTTATTTTGTTTTGCTTTTTAAGAAAAATCAGCTCACTGAACACTCCACCATACCAGAGCCCATTTGGCCAGTCTACTGGAGCATATAATGTTCAGAGAGCTAAGTGTACATTATGTGTATGAATGTATGTATTCCATTCACAGTTATGTTATTCCCCATGTTGCACTGAGAGTAAATGACCTGCTTGAAAGCTACCTAGTGAGTTTGGGGATTAAAGTGAGATTTGAACTAGACCTCATTAGAGTTATACCCTTACAGCAGCCTGAAATGTAAAAATGAATGGACTCTGTGCTGAATTCAGGTAAACTTGTTTAATTGAATTGGACTATTTGGGTTTTTTTTATTATTTTTTTAGAAGGTTTGTATGCCATTTTTCAGGGGGAAAAATTTCAAAGCAATTACATAGGAAATTGAAATAAACTGGTGGGGGTGGGGAGGCAGGCATACATGTATACTGATTATACTGTGATGTTCACAGAAAGTAATTTTTTTAACCCCTTTTTTCAATCCTCAGAAAAAGCCACTGACTGCAATCATTAAGGAAGTCTGTGATGGGTAAGTACTCCTTTTTTCTGTGCTTTCTTTCAGCTTTCAAAATGGGTAGTTCTGAAATAAACCCCTCCCCCTTTGCAGTTTAATTCAAATATCTTTCAGGAATTTTACAGGCTTACTTTATATTCTCATCTTCAGTTCATCTAGTAAAATGAACAGCATCACTGGGAAAGACTGTAGTATTTATTAAATGAATGTTCTGCTGTTCTTCCAAGAAGCTCATGAGTCTCTTCAGTGAGTCAGTTTAGGCTGGAAGATAGTGACAGGCCTAAGTTCACCCAGTAAGCTTTATGGTTGAGAAAAGATGTGAGCCTGGCTCTCCCTGGTCATTTTAACTACTGTATCACACTGATGCGCATTAGTATGGTTAGGTAAGCTCTTGCATTTGTGTGGCTCTGTTCATGCACAGGAATTGCCATTTCCCCTGGATAATAAGGAGTTTCTCACACATCAGCACACATAGAAATTGGAGACCTGGGAGCATGTTCCACAGCGGCATCTTATTGTTTTCCCCTGTCCATGCAGACTATGCCACTTAATTCTCTGGAGATCCCCCTGGAGATTTGCATCATGTGGGAGGGGAAAGCGTGTGCAATATATTAATTTAAAAACAGCATTTGCATTGGGAGGAATAATTTTATTACATGTGTTCTTTCCCTTTTCTTTTTGTATGCCAGCAACAGCTGTGAGGAATGAAATTATTTAATTGAAAGGGAAAGAAATACAATGACTATGTTTGTACATATGCTAAAATAATTAGTTTACTACACCACAGCATGAATAAACTCCATACTGATGATTGTTAATTGTTTGCTCTTCCCTTCATGTCAGTATGTAGGCATAATTTGGGCTGTGGCTAAATATTCCCATATAAAACAGCTTTAACCTAGGGATTGTTGTTTTCTTATGAAAGTTGGTTTGTTTGGGTAAACTATAATCTTGGGCTTAGATGTCATGCAATATTACAGGCAGTTCCCAAGTTACAAATGTTTGAGTTATAAACAACCTGATCTTAGGAACAAACTGCCATAAAGTATATTGTTTTTTAAGAAATTACTGCAGCAAAGCATCACCATAGAGAGAGCAGAAGTGAAAGGGGAGAGAAGGAAGGCATCCAAAGCATGTCTTCTCGCTTGACCCATCCAGAGAGGGAAATTTCTCTGGCATTTCCTTGCTGCACAGAGGATGTGCTGTTGGATATAGGCTGGGGGGCTAGAGATATTTGTGGTTTTCCCACTTTCATGGGGGTTCTGCACCCCTAGCCCCTACAGATTTGATTAAGATGAAGTTCCATTTCTCTGGAATGGAACTCGTTTGTAAGCCAGGTACTCCTTGTATTCTCTTGCATTTAGTGAACCCACTCATACAAAGGGATGAGTAAAGTGGGAGCAAATGTTCACATTGTGTTTTTATAAGCCAGAATGTGTGGCTTATTGTTACATGCAAATATATTCAGTGTTGCCTTTACATATGTTCCTAGAACTATTTATGTATCTTAGCCTTCTGTAACTAAAAAAGTATCAGAAAGGAAAAGAAAAGCTTGAGTTTGGATTTCTATATTGTGTGTACATGTTACTAATAAAGTTGTTTGTATATTTTAAGGTGGTCTCTTGCAAACCACGAGCATTATGCACTGCAACACGCAGATGGTTCCAATTTCTATATCACTGAAAAGGTAGGAAGATGCTTTTTATACCATTCTTGTGTGCTCTACAAGTTTTCATACTGACAGTTTCAGAGCTAATGTTGAGAAAAACTACATTATTATCTTCATTTTTATTGTGCTTGGACCCAAGTGGGTTCTAATGGCATAACTGTGCTGCATTCTTTTGGTTTGAACTCTGACTGGTGGCAATATAATAGTATATTGCAGGCAGAAGTATAAAATTGGTGTATTGAAAGGTTCTCTAGCCAAGATTTTAATTGGATAAGCATTGTCCAGGAGTTGGCAACATTTCTTTGTTAATTAAGCAATGTATTATCCGAATTAATTGTACAAGAGGTTTTTAGGCCAGTTTTTATAATACTACTGATATTGATAGGACCAGAATGGATTTCGAGCTTAGAGCACTTGATTTAAAAAAAAGAATGTGTGAATCATTGAGGCCAGTTTTCTTTTAATGCTTATAAAACAAGATTTATGTTGCCAGGTAAACAAACTGGAACTACATAGTCAAATGTACATTCAGTTTACTTTTTTAAACAAGTTATTCCTAGTGGCAAGGACTACAAAAGAGAAGTGGCATGGCCTACTATATCCCTCACCAGCTTGGGTCCCACCAGGTATTTTGAATTTGAACTCCCATTAGCTCCAGCCAGAATAGTCAATTGCCAGGAATGCTGAGAGCTGTAGTTCAAAATATCTGGAGGTCTCCAGATTGGGGAAAACTGGTCTACTCTTTTCATGCTCCCACTGATCTCAAATGATGAGGCAGTGTCCCTAAAGAAGAGTCTCAAGGGGCTTCTGGATATATTGGAAGTTGCAGCCCTTCCTAAGAATTGATTGATTTATATTCTGTAAGCCGTCTTGAGACGTTTATGAAAAGATGGGATACAAATGTTTTATTAAATTAAAAAATTAAAATCCACATGTCAGGTGCACAACCTGTGGGCTGCATGCAAAACGCCAGCCCCATAACTTTGCCCCCACCCACCCACATGGGTGCTGTAGCCCCCGATTTCTTTGCAGCCCTCCCCCAGCTGGTATAGACTGCTCTTTTTGGCCACTGCTACCTGCAAGGAAAGAGCATTCTGTGCTGGGATCTGGATCTGGAGGCAGGGCAGTGGAAAGAAGGTTGCGTAAACAGTATATCATATATTAGAACTGTTCCTAGCTTGCGGCACTTTGGACAGTGTGGGGTGGTAATAGTAATGGGTGGGGTTTACACTGAAAGGCTTCAGCTCTAACAAATCGAATCAAATCAAATCCTGCATATGAAAAGTTTGCATGAGAAGCCTTAACTTTAGAACTACTTTGCTTGACCTGTGGTTATAATGAGTACATGCAGGTGTTCCTTTTTTCATGGCAGAACATTCAAGCATGTTACAATAGTCCTGAAGTGCTGCAGTCCAGGAACAAGTTTATTCCAGATCTTCTTTTGTGTGAGTTAGTACTTGTAAGGCTGGTAGTGGGTGAGCGGAGGGAACTTAAACATTTCTTTGCTATCAGGAACTCCTTTCCAGTTCTGTAGGCTGCTTTAGATGGTAACTTCTTGCTGGCATTTGTTTGTGATCAGGATGTTTTAGGGAAGCAGCAGACAGGAAACAAAATGAGACATACACATGGCTGGTTGTTAGGTAAAGAAATCTCACTCATGCCACTTCCCTTTTCCCCCTAAATGGTAACTTAAAAGAAATCTCAAGAATTAATAGAACTCTCCATGACAAGATGTGCCTACATACTTCTCTGCAGGCATCTTGTACTTCAGGAATACAGAGCCTCTTAAAGGTGGGATGCCGAGCTTGAGCCCTTTTGTATTTGCCTAGCCTGAGGTTTCACTCAGTCCTTCCACATGGCAATCTGCTCCCCCAAGAAAAGTTCCTCAGTCTTCAAGAGATGCTATATGGGGGTACAGGGGGAGGAGCAGGTGGGAAAGTCACTTTACTCCAACCACAGCTGGTGCTTTTTAGAATCCAAGGTATTTTATTATTCTGGGTTATTTTGTGAGAGCTGCTTTGCAGGGGGTGGGCAGGTCCTTTGTAATAATAAAAATTATATTGGCAGCTGAACAGAGCTAGAAATGAGTTATCTCCTAGTCTACCTTTTGATCCAAGACAGCCAGCATAAAGTAATACAGTGACACAGGGACTGCTTCTACTCATTTGGCACATGGCATAGCTCAGGGGTAGCATATACCTCACCTGGAACTACAGATCTGTGTACTGCCAAGGACATAGAGAGAGGAGGCAGGTTCAGCCTCTGGACCTCAAGCTGTGCTGAGGTTCTTGTTTTGAAAAATGACATATTTAATGAATGTTTCTAAGAATTCAAATGTAAGCAGTGCAATAGAGTATTTGAATTTCATCACAGCATCCTTTGTGGAAGGGATAAGAAGATTTATGTAAATTCTAGCAAACTCAACATTCAACTCTGTACAGTTCAGGAGCTGAAATGCTAATTCAGCTAGTGCCAAAATATGCAGAAATAAAATGTTAACAATCCAACTCTTAGTGCCAGGACAGCACAATACATTTCATAGTAGCTAACCTCCTTTCACCAAGGAAACCCTGTGCTAAGCACCATGTTTTAGCTTCAAGATATTTCTAGGCTTGTCTGGATGAGAATCCATTTGACTCATTGTTGGGATGTATGCACCTTGCAATCTCTAGGAGAGTGCTTTATGTGATCAGTTCACGCAGGTTGTATGAGCACTGCATTATGACTTGCAGTTCAGCTTATGAAATGTCCCCGTCACAAAGCTGTGTACTTGAGATGATACAAAAAAATTGCCTGTGATGGCTTTCCCATTGTACAAGACATCCGTTGATGTCCCAGAAATGGAATGATGAAAGTGCATCTGTGAATTCTTCTGTGCTTCACTGGGCAAGACAGACTTAGCTTGTGAGTCTCTCAATGGGAAGCACAAGGCCAAGCAGCTGTATTTGCATTGTAAAAATGGTTCCATCTGCTTTCTTCCATCCAGTTCTGACCTAGGTATTCTCCCTGGATTAATGGTTTCTTTGGAAAAATGTGGCATGTACTGTTTTTGTTGGTGTTGTGCTGGTTTGTGCATTTTGTTAAAGAAGACACAGAAAATGCTATTAACTTTGTGCCCAGGAAAGACTGGGATAAAAGACTTCAATAGGTTTATGCCTGGATCACCCAAATAAGAGAGAGAATAAATAAGGGCAAGCATTTCATGCCATTAGTATTACTCAGATGCCTGCGAACATTGCTTACATGTTCCACTGTTTACTGCCACCAGTTGAGTGAAGGAGAAATGCCAAGGGTCATGATGACCAATAAGTGGGCACTCTGAACTTTTGCATGCTAGGGTTTGAACTGCATTACCCAGGCCTCTTAGGAGAGGCAAGCATGTTATTTTCTCAGAGGAGCAGAAAGGAAAATTTTACAGCTTCTCAGCTGCGTAAAATGTCTTCCTAAAACTATATTTGCTGTTCAGGCAGCCCTTGCTTTGCAACTCCCTGCATCTGCAAGCTAATTGTGGTCACTGAGATGTAAACCCACTAGAAAGTACCTCAGAACTTAGAGTATTTTCATGCAGATATTTCACCAACTCTGCCCTTTTCTTGAGGAAGGGGAAGAACTTGCCATTCTAGCATGAGCCTGTGTATTGTCAGGGCTGCCGGAAGAGCCACTGTTTGGGTGAAGTGGCTGCTCCAGGCACCAAATTCTTTGGATGCCAGATGATTCCCTGAAGGAGCTGGACACAGTTGTGTGGAAGTGTTGGCAGCATGCCAACTTCTCCTCTTCTCCTGGGAGGACTGCAGCCACGTTCTGTTCCATCAGCCAGGAGGGCCACATGCTCCAGAGTACTGGGTTGGTTTCTGGTTCTGAGAGTTGGTCTGCCTGGCTCTGCAGTGGGTTGAACCAGCCACTCTCCTTCTGCCTCAGTAAGATAACACTTGGTACAGCTCTCTGGAAGGCTATCCATGTGAGGATCCCTCAGAGTTAGACAATGGGCTGGTGGGCTCTCTGGGAAGTCCCACAGGCTGTTTCCCTACTATGATAACTGCTTCGGGAGATAAGCAGCTGGTGGTCCTCTTTGAGGCCCATCCGGCTCAAATGCCACACTTGGAGGGGTCCTTTTTCAGAGTGAGGCATTTTGGGTGAGGTAGCTACGAAGATCATCTGTGCTGCTGTGGCACAGGTGATTTCCAAGCCCAACTTACCTGGAATAAGGGTCCTTCTCTTCAAGGTCTAGTGAGGAGGAATGCATGGCCTGCTTGTTGTAACATCATTACTGGCAACCAGTTCAGTTTTGGGCACAACTCAGTGTGCAAGGTGTGAGCCGTAAACTCCTAAACAACATGGGACAAAATTACTGAAAGGATTACCTCTCCCCAGTAAACACCTTTTAAGATCTTTGGCATGGGCCCATCTTTATACCTTGCTGCTATTTATAGGGTGTTCAGTGTGGTGTGTGTTGCAGGAGGCATGGAGCAGAAAAGGGCTTTCTGAGTGCTTGGGTCGAGACTCTGCAACTCCTTCTCTGGCCTTCTGCCAGTGTGTGAAAGACGTTTTTGTTTAGATTGGCCCTTGGCCTCTTCAGCAAGCTGTTGCTGCGTTTGTGAGTTTTTGTTTTTAACTGGCCATTTTAAAAAATCATAAACCTTGTTTTTACCGACATATTGCTTTTGTTTGAGTAACCAACACAGTTGTTGGGGCAGGACATTATGATCTCAGCATGACTGAATGTTAGACACTGTTTCAACCATATTCTGCCCGTCACTTGATGCCACAGATATACCAGCTGGGAAATTAGTGGGGAAATTACATTTCCCAGAAACAGTGTTATTTCACATTTTCCAAAGAATAACATTCTGTGGGGCACAAAATACTGTTAAGTTATTAAAACTAAGGAGTTTATATTATGACTGGCTTGATGGATACATTGCATATGATGTGCAAGACATTCTTGTACTGTGTGATAATTCAAGTCATCTCCACCCTGGTTAGGTTGGTATTTATATCCTACCCTTATCTTTAAAGAT